CTTTTGCAACTAAAGGATTATTGAAACACAATATAATTTGTACGAAAATACAAATTTATGTTTTCATAATGAATGAAACTATAATTGAACTGAGATTATTATTTACATAAACTTCTTAAGTAAACTTAAAGATGATTTGTGTTAATAATGAAATTGTCCCTGAAGTCATTCTTATGTATATAAAGACTAACTGAAGTCAGAGTATTAAAAAAAAAATCTACATTATGGATAAAACAGATAAAAAATTACTTTTATTTTTATTCAAGCCTGTTACAGACTTCTGCAGAAAGGAGTCAGAGAATTCTTTCTCTGTAAAAAAAAAAAAAGGAAAACTGAAAAGAAAAATAGCTTTTTATTGGCTTGTTTCAATTGTTTAGAGAAGAAAAGTTGAATCTTAGGTGAGAAACTTAAGGGATTTCATTACATTTTCAGATTTATCTGAGGAGATTAACAGCAAGTGTAATTTTGAATGATCAGTTCTTTCCTGCCTATGCGTTGTGATTTCTCGCAGCTATCTGACTGTTTCACAGTTCCTGACAACCTGAACAGTTCCATTTTAGGTGGATGATACAGTGGTTCTGCACCGAGGGAGCCCTTATCTGCTTACGCTGAAAGGCAGGAAAAAACCCATGGAGAGATCTGGAGTTTAAGAGTGAAGAGAGCGTGGCAAGGTTTAATATCACTTTAGACCTTCGCTCAGCCTAATTAGTTTGCAAATATGTAATTTATTTTGCTCCAAGGGTTGTAAACATTCTATAGCCTCAGCTTCTCTTGACAGCCAAGGGGAGGAATTTACAATCCGTTATCTGAACAAACAGAACATACTTTGTTCAACTTCTTTTAATAAAGTCTGATTCCCTTCTTAAAGAGAGAATACAACTTCAGATTTTTCTCTCTAGTAATATCATGTCCATACTTGTAAAAATAATGCAAAAAAAAATCCTATTTTCCTATCATTTGCCAATTTAAATGTCATTGTTTTTAATGTATTTTAATATTTTGCTATAGTATTTTGCACTTATAGCCAGGTGACAAAATGATCATTTATGAAACTCAGTTATATTTAAATCAAGCAGGAACATTAAATTAGTGAAGGAAACCAGATTCTTTACAGAACTTACCCCTGTTGCCATGCCAAAAGAAAAATTCATGATTGTTTATAATTTTCAGAATTGCATTATGGTTTCCATATCATGCTGACTGAATATAACCATAAAAAAACCTTAATGTATGTCATTTGTCCTTAGAGAACTTTCAGTGGTTTGCAATCAGACCTACTTTCACTTCATTTTTGAGTTTGAATTTCTAATAAATTATAGAGAAAGAATCCATCTCACACTTTAGTTTGTGGTTCTTTTGTTCTGTTGTATAGACACATTTGGAGAAAGAAAGTCTTCCATTAACTAACTTCATAATTTGAGGCATTGTATTATAGAGTACACAGCCTTCGGATTTCAAGTGGTGGTTTGCTTTCGAGCCCTACCTTGTATATTCAGAAGCCCTATGTTTGGTAAAATGCCAGTACATTACAGGTGATTTAATGTATATATATACTCCCATTTAAGAAAGGCAAGTCAAATTACAGATGAAGGCTTTGCCTCCCCTGACTCTTTTTCTTTCCCTCTCTTTAAATTGGTCCCAATTTACAGAGTTCTTTCTATGTCACGCAGTAACCTTTATGTTCACACAATGCTAATAAGGCTCATAATAAAGGCTATTGTGCCAAAACCTTTGGCGTCAAAACTCAAAAACAGACTGACTTCTTGTATTTAAATTTTGTAAAGCTGGCATCAGTAGGTTTACTTCCAGGCCTCTCCCCTGTAATTTGGAAGGTCTTCTGTAAGACCTCCCCCATCCGCTTTACCTCTGAGTGGTTTAGCCCAAGGATGTAAGAAGAGTTTACCCCTTTTTCTCTTCTCCTCGATAAACCGCTCTGCTGTGAAACTCAGGCAGTAAAGGGAAGAGTCTGAGATCAGGAGAAGGGGAAACACGGGGAAAATCAATTCTGAGTTGATCATAATGTAATTAAAGAAGTAGGTTCCCCCTTGGCAGAGGTAGAGGGACACTCAAAGCTGCTCATAATCCCTATGGAATGTTGAGGAAGGAATGCTGATAATCCAAGCCAGAAAGAGCTTTTACTGGAATCACTCAGATAATTCAAATAAATACTGAAGTTGCTTTTGTGTGAATGTGTGTTGTTGTTTTAATTGTTTAATCCAAGTGTTATCTTCGATTTTCCCTGATTTCATATGCTCTGATGCTTTGATAGCTCTACTGTTACCCATTTTTTACCTAAAAAGAGAAATAGCATGATCTGTACACTTCTGATGAAATGAAGAGTTTTATTTATGCGTGCTTTAAATTCGATTGCTTTTTTGTTTGATTGTATGAAGACAAACAGTTGAATGTAAACATTGCTACTTACTCTCACCTACACAGCTGAGTTTACAGTCTGCCTCATAAAACGACGGTAGCAGCTACATCTTCACGCCATAGAGTATGGAGAGGATGTCACATACCAGAGTTGTCTGCAGCGTTACAGGCATCTATGGCCATTTCATATTCTTGTGTAACATAATCTCTTTCTCTATTATCTGTGTAAATGTTGATACTCATAAGTATCACTGACTATTTTTGCCCATAAACTACTTTTCCACTAACCAGAGTCAAAGATGAATACATTTTAGACTATCCTTTATTTTGTATTATTTCTCAGCCTCCACATAATATCCCCATTTGCATGGATAATTGATTCATAGTAGTGATTATTTCACAGATCACGATTTTTTTCATCTATACCTTCTTTCAACCTATTTTTATACTTTTGTTTCTATGATATTTAATAAAATGTCTCTTTTTAGAAGTTGAGAGACCAACTCAGCCCTAAGATTTAGTTGAATCGCAGTCGGTGGTGTGTTCAGGCCCGGAGCCACATGGCTCCTTTCATGAGTCTAAAGCATGCATCACTTAGGGTCTCATTGCAGAGCTTATTGCAGTCTGACCAGTTCCTACAAGAGTCTCTCATATGTCTGCATGCTACATCAAGTCATTCTTTATTAGGTTAAAGAAGAGGATAGTCAGACACAAACTACTCCGTGATGCTATTGATTGCCCAAGGGTGCAAGCATTTTGTTTTAAGCCCTGAAGAGTAAACGTAGTTTTGTAAAGCATTAATCTCTGCAGGTCTAACTCACTTTGGCTTTAAATTTGCTATATTTATTAATTGATTCAATGATAAAATATTATAAATTTTTAACTCTTGAATTCCTTGCTATGCTGACCTAAAGCAGAAACTTTCTCTCTTAAGGTCAATGGGATTCCAACTTCTTAGCATTTTAGCTGCCTAACTCTTCATTTGATTCCCTCTCCCTTTCCATAATCTTCATGACCAGCTTCATCTGTGCACGAGCCTTCTCTCCATTTAGCTGTATTTTTTGTCAAGCTGTTATTATATATTTCACTACTCCAGGTCACCAGCCAGCTGCGTTTGGCTTTCCTGAAGAAGCTCACTGGTTGTTAGCCTGTTGGAAATAATTAGATTCAAATTTTGGCTTTCCAGTTTATTCTTGCAGCTTCTAATCAGTTGGATTTCCCTGCCAATCAGTCTTTTCCCAGTTGGCCTCCCTTAACTTTGACACCATGTGTTTTCATCTGAGGCTTTGACGAGGAAATGCATTCTCAAGCACAAGTTCAGTTTTTATTTACAAGAAACTGAGAAATACAAATATAAATTTCACTAATTGGAAATTTATCATTTCTAATGATTTTGAAACATCTGTACTGGATTAAATAAGGTCTGATTGATATCCAAAACATGTATTTTTCTGGTAATATTTATCTGATATATATGATAATATTGGGGAAAAGAAGTGAGCACAAAGAAATATCAAAACCAATTTATTAAATATGTTCATTTGGTGTAAAATGAAAAATGTTATCTAGTGAATGTATATTATGATGTAATTAATAAATTACATTAGAATTTTATTGAAAGTGTACCATCTTCAGTCATGGTTCATGTTAATCAATAGTCCTATGAATATGACCCTGATTACTTATGACTTAATCTTTTTATTTTGTGATTGATTATATCCTTTATTATGAATTGATTATTTGGTTTGAAGTTGTTATGTAAACTGGACATAACTTTCTTTTGATTATTCATCAAAGCATTGTCAATTCCACTGGTTAATTTTTACTCTGTTTAGCAAAAGCAGTAAGGATAAAGGCAACTATGGAATTTTATTAGCTCTGTCAAAGGAATTTTTCAAAATGAAAAATTTTGAAATCTGAAATTGTATTTAAGATTCTCCAGCAAACTAACGGAGCTGTCATGACCCAGGAGATGTTTCTAATAACTTTTATATCCCTGTATTTTTTCAGATTCTTTCTTCTCCTTTGTGTCATGTTGAATCCAGACCTGGTACAATGTATAATTGAGAAGAAATTCAGAAAGAAAATACAAGAGATGACAAGCTTCAAGATAGCATTAAAAATAACTTGATTTGATTTGAGATTATTGAATAAATGATCTACTGCTGCAGTAGTCAACTTAGTGACACTTTGACATGACTCAAACACTTTATACTAGAGGCCAGAGTTCTAGATATTAAATGGCATATCTCCATTAAATTCTATAGAAATAATACATTTAGAGTAGATAAAATATTTGAGATGCATGAAATAAAGTATTTATTTAAATCTATCTTATTTCTTGAATATTAAAAAGATGAAAGAAAATATTTTACTTTTTACTTTGTGAGTGTATCGCAAAAGGAACTATTAATTTTCTTCTTGAAAGTTACTGCATGTGTCTAGAAAGCTAAAACAGGTGAAGAAGAGGATTGTTCACAAATCATTCTCTTCTTATGTGTATTTCTTATTTTTTCGGATATTTCATGGGAAAATTTACAGTGATATTATTCACACAGCTTTGTAATAGGTTGATTTGTTTTACTCATTAAAATGCATTAATCATAGGCATATTTTTTTTCGTTTAGCAATGGTTGTTTTGAGCAACCTGGAACCAAATACAACTTATGAAATCAGGGTTGCAGCTGTAAATGGAAAAGGGCAAGGAGACTACAGTAAAACAGAAATTTTCCAAACATTACCAGTTCGTAAGTAATCCTCTCTGTTTTTACTGCTGCCGTTCTCTTTACTTGCAAATTTAAATGGGATTTTAAAATGCAGGCAAGGGAGGAGGGTATAGCTCAAGAGGCAGAGCGCATGCTTAGCATGCAAGAGGTCCTGGGTTCAATCCCTAGTACCTCCCCTAAAAACAAACAAAAATAATTACCTCCCTCCTCCGAAAAGAAAACAAAGAACAAAACTGAAATACAGGGAGACATTTCGGCACTTTGAGGGAGTGAACTATGTGTTTTGTTGAAGTGGTTTCTGAAGATGGTTTTATTAAAAGTAACTTGGTTCTGGAGCAAGGGGGAAAGAAAAGTACGATTTGTACAAATTGTACTTGTAATTGTAAAATTACTTTCAGGAGATTATTCCAGTCAGGAAGCTGTCCTACTTATTTATAGTCTGATTAATTAGATTGTAGTACTCAGACTATACTCTGTGAAAGGGTAGAAACGTTTCTACGTAACATGTAATATTCTGTTCCTTGTCTGAGGCATAACCATTGCCTTTAGCCCGTGAATTCCGTAGGCCCTGAGTGGGAGGAAAAGGCACCACTGTATGAATCCATTGCAGTGGTGACAGCAGAATAATAACTATTGCAACCTCCTCATTACTGTCATTACTGTCCTGTTCTGGGTTATTTTAAGTCAACTGCATTTACATGAAGTTAAGATAAATTAAGCAATTTACATTTCCTTCATGTTGAATAACTTGTGGAAAAATGTGAGAAAACTTGAACATGACTCAATAAACACTGTTATGAAATCAATGCATAACCCTGCCTATTACACACTTATAGAAAGCAAATTGGTCGCAATAATTATCCTAATTTATGACCAATTCTTTTCTGTTGGTTCTCATAAAATGTCAGAAGTGTTCTCTTTTCTCCACTCCTGATGCCAGTGTCTTTTTCATTCCTTCTTATTTTGTCACCAGGACGACTGCAAGTACATCTTGACTCATAATCCTGCCTCTAGACTAAAATGATTCTAGAATGACTTAGTCTTAATTTAAATGGAAATCTTTCCATTCTCTTCTGACAATCAATCCTCAGCAACACCACCAGTCACTTAACACCTTCCACCTCCGCACATCTTTGCCTGCCATCCTCACATCTCCCTCAGCTGCCACCATGCTCTCTGCATCAGTAGGTTGAACTAAAGTTTGGTAATGTTGTTTTCTTCCCCCAAGGTCCTGTGCATTCTGTCTTGATTCTTCTTCTTTTTATAATCTCCAGGATAGGTCAGTGGTAAGGTGCATGTCTAGCATGCATGAGGTCTTGGGTTCAATCCCCAGTACCTCCTTTAAATAAGCAAACAAACAAACTTAACTACCTACCCCCTCAAAATATTATAAGTATCTTTGATATAATACCATCTCTTTGTGAAGAATGACATCACAGGCAGGTACTTTCATGAAGCTAGAATTTTTTAAAAAGATATTAACCCACCTATGGATTGGATGATGCTACAAAATTTCTTTATTCAAATTTGCATCTAGTTAAAAAAATGCTCATTAAATCAGATAACTAATTGCTAAGCTATTTTCTTTCCTGGCAAGGATATATTCCATACAGTTTGATGATTTAATATGTTTATATTAATCCATGTTTGCAGAATGTTTACAGAATAAATTTACATTAATAAAATCAATGATTGCACATTATTAATACAAGAAATAAAGCTTTACACTTGTGTAATGCAGTGACTTCTATTCTCAAAGGATTTCACATCCATATAAATAATATATTCGGTCCTGAGTTTTCACAATTTTGGCGTGAGACTTCTAGATTTACGAGTGTTGCTGTTTCTTGGATGGGGAAAAGGAGGTTCAGAGGTTGTATCACAACAAAGAGCAAATGGGAAACGATACATCAAGGATAATATCATATAATCTGACACATAACAGTGTTGCTTTTATTTAAATGCAGTTTCTCTACACATATGAGGTGTGTGCAAATATCAAGAATGTTATATTGCCTATTTAGGTGAACCAAGTCCTCCATCCATACATGGACAGCCAAGCAGTGGGAAGAGCTTTAAACTCAGTATCACCAAACAGGATGATGGAGGGGCCCCCATTTTGGAATATATTGTGAAATACAGAAGTGTAAGTACCCTGTTTATTATCATTTTGTACAGTGTTTTTAAGCTGCAATAAATTTGTGTTGAATTCACAGATACATCAGCAGAGAATGCATATTAAGTAAAACAGTGATAAAAGGAAATCAGATAATTTTCTGTTGCTGAAATTCATCATTATAAATTGTAAAATGTTTGCTTGTTTAGTTGTTTTTTGTAAAGTCTAAGCATAGATCATCCAAATAATGCCATGGTTTTCATCTTGTGATTTCTAAACTTAGCAACATTTCAGAAATAAGGTATATTTTCCCCATTTTTCTGACAAGTTTAGCAGAATATTTCACCTTCCATTCTGCTTGATTTTAGTAACGTCAAGCTAAGCCCTCTTCTCAATGTTAGTTACTGTAGGTAGGATTAGAAAAATCACACCTCAAAAGTAATTATTCATTTTTATAAATTATTAAATTATTAACAACTCAAAATATACTTATTTAATATGGATTTTTAAAAATAAATCATTCTAATCAACATATAGCAAAGAATGGCCACACTGAACTTGAGAAAGAGGGAATAGATTTCTTCGCATTTAAATACCAGTAACTAACACGGGATTTCGAACAGCTCAAAGCTGTCTTGGGATGTGCCATCTGTGTAGGGAGTGAAGGATGTCCTTTGGCTGCAGACTGATGAAGAAAGTCACCTGATTGACTTTGCCTTCAACTAAAAATGATGCCAAAGTCCACTAGAAGGGATTTCTGTTAACAACTTTACCATAAGTACCATTGAGTATTTGTGTCTAGTGTGGAATATGTTAAATGTTAAACAAAATTTTAAATTTTGTAAAGTGATTTACTAATAATTATGGTTATCCCCATTATACTGTGTCAATTTTATTTATTTTTAACTTTTTTCCTTTTTCATATCCCCAAATTCACTTTAATTCATTTAATAAATTCCCTTAAATGTGTTTCCTTCACAAAAACATGCTACTATCATTTTTAATTCACATACATCATTTTTGTATTCTAACACCTACTCATTTCTTGCAATTTTTGAAATGCAATCAAATTTAAAACTTTTTCTGGTTTCCAGTTAGCATGATGACTTTTTATTTGTTTGTTGTTTTAATTGTGTCTATGTAATGGTGGCCTTACAAAAGAAATTGAGAAATGTTTCCTGTTTTTCTCAACATTGGGCAAACCTGGGAAATTTAGGTGATTTTTTTTTTTAATTGAAGTATAGTCAGTTTACAATGTGTTAATTTCTGGGGTACAGCATAGTGATTCAGTTGTATGTATATACACTTACATATTCCTTTTCATTTTCTTTTTCATTATAGGCTGTTATTAGATATTGAATATAGTTTCCTTTGTTATACAGAAGAAACTTGCTGTTTATCTATTTTATATATAGTAGTTACTATCTGCAAATCCCTAACTCCTAATTTACTCTCCCCCCTTCTCCACTAGCAACCACAAGTTTGTTTTCCGTCTGTGAGTCTGTTTCTGTTTTGTAAATAAGTTCATTTGTCTCATTTTTTTAGATTCCAAATATAAGTGATATGGTATGGTATTATTCTTTCTATTTCTGGCTTACTTCACCTAGTATGACAATCTCTAGGTTTGTCCAAGTTGCTGCAAATGGCATTATTTTATTCTTTTTTATGGCTGAGTAGTATTCCATTGTCTGTATACCACAACTTCCTTATCCAGTCATCTGTCCATAGACATCTAGATTGTTTCCATGTCTTGCGTATTGTAAATAGTGCTGTTATGAACATTGGTGTGCATGTATCTTTTCGAATTAGAGTTCCCTCCAGATTTACGCCCAGGAGTGGGATTGCTGGATCATATGGTAAGTTTATTTTTAGGTTTTTAAGGAATATCCGTACTGTTTTCCACAATGGCTGCACCAAACTACATTCCCACCAACCGTGTAGGAGGGTTCCCTTTACTCCACACTCTCTCCAGTACATATTGTTTGTAGACTCTTCAGTGATGATCATTCTGACTAGTATGATACCACACTGTAGTTTTGATTTGCATTACTTTAGTAGTTAGTGATATTGGACATTTTTCATGTGCCTATTGGCTATTTGTATGTCTTTATTGTAGAAAAGTTTGTTTAGATCTTCTACCCATTTTTGATTGGGTTGTGTATTTTTTTGTTATTGAGCTATATGAGATGTTTGTATATTCTGGAAATTAAGCCCTTGTTAGTTGCATTGTTTGCAAATATTTTCTCCCATTCCATAGATAGTCTTTTTGTTTTATTTATAGTTTCATTTGCTGTGCAAAAGCTTTTAAGTTTAATTAGGTCCCATTTGTTTATTTTTTGTTTTTATTTCTGTTGCTTTGATAGACTGCCCTAGAAGAATACTGCTAAGATTTATGTCAGAGAATGTTTTGCCTATGTTTTTCTAGGAGGTTAATCATGTCTTATGTTTAAGTCTTTAAGCCATTTTGAGTTTATCTTTGTGCATGGGGTTTACATTACAGCTGTCCAACTTTCCCAATGCCACTTTCTGAAGAGGCTGTCTTTTCTCCATTGTGTATTCTTGTCTCCTTTGTTGAAGATTAATTGACCATAGGTGTGTGGATTTATTTCTGGGCTTTCTATTCTGATTCATTGATCCGCATGCCTGCTTTTGTGCCAGTATCATGCTGTTTTGATTGCTGTAGCTCTGTAGTATTGTCTGAAGTCTGGGAGAGTTACTCTTCCAGCTTTATTCTTTTTCTTCAGTATTGTATTGGCAATTCTTTGTCTTTTGTGATTCCATATAAATTACAGGATTATTTCTTCTATTTCTGTGAAAAATGTCCTGGGTAATTTGATAGGTATCCCATTAAATCTGCAGATTGCTTTGGGTAGTATGACCATTTAACAATATTAATTCTTCCAATCCAAGCACATGGGATATCTTTCCATTTCTTTAATTTCCTTAATCAGTGTTTTGTAGTTCTTCACATATAAGTCTTTCACCTCCTTGGCCAGGTTTATTTCTAAGTATTTCATTTTTTTGATGCAATTTTAAACAGGATTTTTTTTCTTTCTTTTTCTGACCTTTCACTGTTGGTGTAAAGAAATGCAGCAGACTTCTGTATGTGAATCTTGTACCCTGCTGCCTTACTGAATGTGTTTATCAGAGCTAGTAGTTTTTTTGTGTGTGTGTATGTGGAGTCTTTAAAGTTTCTATATATAGTATTGTATCATCTGTGTATAGTGACAATTTTACCTCTTCTCTTCCAATTTCGTTCCTTTCTTGTCCAGTTGCTATGGCTAGGACTTCTAATGTTGAATAGACGTGGTGAGAATGTGCATACTTATTCTAGATTTTAGTGGGAAGGCTCTCAACTTTTCACCACTGAGTATTATGTTGGCTATGGGTTTGTCATATATAGCTTTTACTATGTTGAGATATGTTCCCTCTATACCCACTTTAGTTAAAGAGTTTTTAACATGAATGTTGAATTTTATCAAATGCTTTTTTCTGTAGCTATTGAATTGATCATGTAGTTTTTGTCTTTTCTTTCATTGATGTGTCGCATTGATTGATAATTTATTAAACTTAAGTTAATTATATCTAGATGTGTACACTCACATTTTTTTAAGCGCCATCAGTTTACTTTTGAAATATTTTCCAACAATGAATAGTTATGGACATAAATAGAACTATGATTTTTGGCAATTTTCTTTGCTGCTAGGGAAAAAAGTGATTTTTATTTATCTGTGTATTAATAGCATTAAATAAACTGTTGTCTGAATGAATAAATGCATCAGTGATTCAACGAATAAGTTAATCTATGCTATGCAATTATAAATGATCCTAAGTAGACTAATAAATACGAGAATTAATTAATACAAGAAATAACATGCACTGTGTTAATTTTGTGAGAAGATGATGAATAGGAAAAATTAGATCATTTTTTCCCCTAAAGAAGTACGTGGGTGATGGAGACTAGGAAGTAGGTAAAGTAGTGTCCAGTTTACAAAATTTTACCAAGCTTCAGGACCTGAAACAAAATGATTTGAGTCAGCTATAATAATACCAAAAAAAAAAAGAGAATAGAATTTGAAACTCTCCTAAAAACTTCCAAACCTCACATCTTTCTCAATCACAGTGGAATGTGTGTGTGTTTGTGTGTATAAATTATCCAGAGTGCTAAATCCCCTCTCTCATATTTAGAGTAGCACATGGAGCTTAAGGTCACATAAGTAATAAATAGCTTAATCAGGCTACCAGGAAGTCCAGGAACCAGGAACTGCCTTACATGGAAATATGAAGTCTTAAATCATAACACTCTGGAATCATAAGAACCTTAAAATTAATCAAATTAGTAGGAGCTCACTGCCTCCATTGTCCTCTCTTTTTATAATTACTCAGTTTTCACGTAAGATGATACTGACTATACATACCTACCCTAAGACTTTGAAAAGAAAGTTAGTGGATTTCTCCTTTGAATGAATAAAAACAGTCAAGGAGCCCTCCATAGATAAGAAAAGCAAGACCTTCTCCATCTCTCCTCCACTCTCCCTCCATACAGATGATAGTAAATATTTCCCTATGGACTGAGATCATGATTTTAGAATAACTTTTAAGATGTCCCCTTAATTGTCATATAGCCCTGCTATCTATGTTTTGACAAAAAGGAATGCTTAATAAAAGCTTTATCGAAACAAAATGACCATTTTTTTTCAGTAGCTGCCCTTCAACATTTAATTGGCTTATTAATAATGGCCCTATTCAGCAAATCATCTCATTAAGTACCTAAGGGAACATTTAGCAACTAGATTATCTTAAATTGTTCCCTTGGCATTTAAGTTCTGCAAATTAGGCACTCTACAAATGAATAGTTGAGATTTTGATGCCTAGGGGAGCATTTGGTAACACCCACTTTAATTTTTTCCTATTTTCTAACTATAGCAATTAAGGAATTAAAAAGCTTCTTGTCTAATGGTGAATGGGAAATGAAATTGATTTAAATTGAGGAAAATAATAGAACTCCCTTTAGACCCTTATACCACATCAGTCCAACTATCTAAAATGGTGGAGGGGCTTTTAATTTGTCATGCTAAGAACTTTAACAATTAAGAGTTAAGTGACTGTCAATTTAGACAAATTATCTGCACATCTTGGGCTCATCAGGAAGTTTCACCCCAAATGCTCAATTCCCAGAAATAATATTTTTGGAGGATTAGCTGAAGGACATGAAGTCCTTTTGTCTTTCTAAATAATAAATTGTATCCTGGGGTAATCTAGTTATCAGCTCTTGTCTTATTTTCTGGCTTTTTCACCCATATCTCTACCCAGAGCCAAAACAAAACTCAGCTCTGAATAGATGTTCACTCTCACAAAGCACTTGATAGTTAAATAGAACTTTCTGATTTATTGGGTTAGGGGATGGCTACAGAGGCACCTCGCAGCTGCTCTGTGTCACTTCGCCCTTATCTAACCCTTCAGTCCTCTTACTCCTCACCCCACTTCCTGTATGTGTGTGTATGTGCAATATACTACATAACAAGTATTTGTATATGTGTATTTTGTTGTCTATAAATGCATGTTTGCATATATATGTCATATATCGTATCATCTAAAATTATTTTTGAATGGAGATTTTTGTAAGCTTTATATTTTTGGTCAACTCCTATGAAGTATTTTTTCACATTTGTTTAAAACTATAAACCTACAGTATTTGTTTCGACATCTTTCCAAGGTTTTCAATCATTGTGCTTATTTCTGGTTCTAAACTTCTGTGAAGGAATCACACCTTCTTTTCATTAACTAGGTGAGGACAAATGCAAAGAAAAATAGAAATGGAGTTTCTTATTTTCAGTGCTGGTGACATTTCTTCCCCAGAGGAAACCTTCCTAGCTTCTGGATATATTTTTCTCCCTGTTACATGCTCCCAAAGCATCTTCTGCTTTTTCAAAGAACTTATGTCTTTCTTCTGTGCTGGTTTGTAAACTCTAAAACAAGGCACATGCCTTGTTCACCATTGTGTTCATAGTTCTAGAACAACCTACTACCCAGTAAAGACTGAATAAATAATTGATGGATACATTCATGACATAAGAGGACATTGGGACAATTGTGTATGTTAGTACAGCTGTCCCAAGCATTTCAAAAGCAAACCTTGGTTCCTTTCTTAACTTTACTAGTCAGTTAGTGACTTAGACAACTTACAAGGATTCTGGTCCGGATAGTGCTGTTTTCCAGTGGCTTTTCCAGTACACTTCATAACACCTTTACTAATACTGGACACAAATCCAGCCTAATAATTTAGTATACTTATAAGTTTCAAAAAGCAAGGGGAATACTTCTTGTTTATAACTTTCTGTGCTTGTCCAAAACCCATGGCTTTCTTAAGCTGTTAGTATCTTCAGTTTTAGATGAAATAATAAAACAGGCCTACTGATATCCTTTGAAATAAAAGTTCTATGTAACCAAAAATAATTAAGAAAAGAGAAACACAGTATAGTATCAAAACCATATTGTTGTCTTCTTTTGAAGAACACTTCATGCTTGTAATACATCAATTTAAAGCAGTCATGAATTTAACTTCCACACTTTAATTTTAAATAATAAGTCTTCAAATTTCACTATAAAAAGAGAAAACATTGTTATTCTTTGTAGTCAGAGAAACATTGTCAAATACTGGCTCAACATAAAGTACTACTGGGCTGAGTTCTGAGGTTAAAAAGATTGATCCATCTGTCTATTGATCTGTCTATCTATCTTATGGCCTGGTTACAATTTACTTAGAATTACACCTCTGGGAAATTGAGATTTGCAATTGCGGTGATGGATTATTATTTGATACGTGATTTCAGAGAAAATATCATTTCATTTCTGTATAGTTATTGTAGAAATAGTTTCTCCTTAGTAATAGCTGTCTTTGCTAAGTGGTTATGATTCTTAATGCCCTGGAATGTACAATGTACTCAATTTTCCTCACTCATCCCTCATGAAAGCTAACGGAGGCAGCTGCTAGCATCACTTCTGTAGTAGAGATGAGGGACACAAGGCAGAGAGGTTACCATTTAAACATAGGAAAGTGTTTAAATGTTTAACATATGGTGCAGCTGAATGTTCACATTGTTTAGGATAGTTTAATCCATAAAGTTATATCAATTTATTTTTCTGTTATTTGCAGTCATACTACTTTTTTCAAACAAAAGGTAATTTAAAATGTCATGTGGTCTAAAACATTTATTTTAGAAGAAGAATCAGGATTTGAGTGTAGAATGTTCAAGGATAAGATAACATTTTAAAATTTCTTAGGCTTATAACCTATTTAACAGGTAATAATTTTTTTCTTCCATGGTGTTTCAATATGTCTAAGACATAATAATAATAAAAAATAATAGTGGTAATTTAAATCTATAAAAATAATCCAGATTTTGTTTGCAAGACACTTTACCCTCACCTACCCCAAACCTTAAACAATAGTCTCTGGCAATTATTTTAATGGATATATTAGGTTTTCCTATATAATATTTTAATTTTTTCCTGTTCACATGATTATTAATAATCAACAAAGTGGCTAAACAGCAAAGTGATGTTTATGAAATAAAAAAAATTCTGATGGAGAATTATCAATTGCTGAATCATCAAGGATTAATTATGAAATTACCACTCTTTAGCTAATTTAAAAACCATTGTAATTTTTATGTGAAAATCTTAGAAAGGACTTCATCTATATATAACTTCACTTATCCCTGTGGATGAGAAAATATCTTTCTTTGATTTAATAAAACCACCTGTTCCAATTCAAGGTAGATGAAATATTTTTTTAAAAGATCACAACTTTAGTGCCTGTGTATTTACAAAATATATTTGTATTTCCTTTATAGAAAGATAAAGAAGACCAGTGGCTAGAGAAAAAAGTTCAGGGAAATAAAGACCACATTATTTTGGAGCATCTACAGTGGACAATGGGGTATGAAGTCCAAATTACAGCTGCCAATAGATTGGGATATTCAGAACCAACTGTCTATGAGTTCAGCATGCCACCAAAACCCAACATTATTAAAGGTAAGCCAACCATATGCCATATCAAGCCGAAAATAAACATCGTGTTATCTTTTATAGCCTCTCTGAATTTTTTCTTAATATTAAAGACATAATTTTATAGAAGCAAACATAAATTCTAGGGTCTGCTCATGACTATTTATGTATCAAAATTTCTCAGTCTGTCTTGCCATGGAAGATTGGTTCATTTGTAAGTGCACTTTGACAGCTTTAGTGGTGGAAATGGTGGGGAGAGGATGAGCAGAGAGGGGATTGAGGGGTAAGAGTGAAAATCAACATAGAAAAGTTTTGCTGAGACCAGAAAAAACCCTTAGCAAAAAAGACAACTTCTCTGCCAAACACACCAAGGCTAGCCCTCCACTTTTGGTAAGACATGGCCAAAGATAATGGTGAGCCCATTATGCTTGGCCAAACAAGCTGACTTGGAAAGATTCAGTCTATCACATAATGAGGCAGAAGCAGCCACAGACATAGCCCCAGGAGAACTAAGACTAGAGTTCCGAAGAAGCTCATAGTGTTGCAGGACATTCATCGTTAGTCACAGCGCACTGGGAGCTTCTACCTTGGTTAGGTAATAGTGCTTACATCATTATATGCTGGTGATACTATCAAAGTCCACAGGAGGGATACGAAAACCGTTTTCAGATATGTGCTAGAAAGGTGAACATTCAAGAATTTATTCTGATTCATAGTCAGTTAACTCTGTTAGTGAGTTGTCATATTGATCATATTTTAACATTTATTGCTCTTTACATATCATATTTAACACTTAATGGTAAATTTTGTATGTACATGCATAAATATATATACACATATACTCTCTATTTAGATATGTGAACTGCATATTCATAAACATGGCTGATTTAAGTCATACTATAATAGAGTATCAGTGTTGTTCCATAGTATTTTTGAGACTGGAAAAATAAAATTTGTCAGCTCAGTCTTGCTATTTAACCCTCTTGTAATTTCAAATTGAAATTAATCTCATTATTATGGCTTTGTTATATCATACATCTTTTTTTAATTGAAAGTAACTTTATATAATTCATCTTTCTATTAAAAAGTAATTACTGTTAGTTGTATGGTTTGAAAGTAATTGATATCATGGCTTTGTATTCCTAGTATTAATTAATAACTGCTTCCAATTATAATTTGAAATTAGGAAGTTGGAACTGTCTAGAAATAATATGGATATCTTGCTTTGTACTGTCAATTTTTAAAAATTTACAAAGTACCTCTGCACTTATTATGTCATTTTATTCTTGAATTGGAGTTGAACAAGGGAGAATTATCCTCATCTCACAGTTTTGAGAGGTTAAAGGATCTGTTCAAGGTCAGAGCTACTTTAAATCAGATGACAAATCCCATGCCCTTACAAGATGATACACCTAAATAAGAATGGTTGAATGAACAATCAAGTTCATTGTTTCTGTGAGCTTAAAATATCAATAACTGCTTCTACAATTCTAATGCATTATGTCTGTAGTAATTATCCCCTATGCAGATAACAGGCAAATGATAAATGATCGTTTAATCTGAGCCAGAATCTTCAAAGGAGGGTTGCAAGAAAGAATTCCATCCACTTAAATCTTTAATTTAGCTCATATCCTTGGAGGAAATAATTATGTTTATCAAAAGGAAAATTAACACTTTATAAAGCTGACGGCAACATTTTAGTTATATTTTATAGATAAAACCCAAACTGTAAAAAAAAAAAAAATTTTAGGCAGACTGCTTTATATTATACTCCCAGAATCCTTGCTATTTTATAAGAAGTTGTTGTTAATAAAACCAATAATAAGTATAGACCAAAAGGTAAATAAATAAAAACAGAATATATAAATAAATATATATTTTTTTGAACAAAAATAACTAAAATATGTCGTGATACATTTCCCATGAAAAACACTTTTCATATCAATTTTGGAAAGTCAGCTTGTGAGCAGTACGCAGAAGGAAAATAGTTTATAGCTTCAGCTTTGCTCTTGTGTTTAACTTCTTTTGATATGTATTTCCTTAGCTCTAAGCTAGTTTCTTCTGGTTTTGCAATGTTAAGATTTATTGATTTATTCATTCATTCCAGTTATTTATTGAGATCTGGCTTTGTGACAAGCACTGTGAAAAGTACAGAGGAATTATCTGTGAAAAATGCAGAGCTGGTTCCAGCACTCCAAGATTGTACAATCTAGTAGGGAAAATAGATATTAAACAAGAGTTAGAATAACCACCAAGTAATTAAAATGAAGAGTTGTGCTGGTGCAGTGTGCCGCCTCTGGCAAGTGTACCTAACTAATGGGGGTATTTGGGGGTAACGAAAAGATTCCCTTGGAAAGTCGCTTTCTAAAAGAAGCTCCTAGGGAATGAAACTTCCAGGGAAAGTGTCTTATATGGAAGAAGTCTCTGAGAGAAGAAGGAATTTAACTGTTTTAGGAACTAGAAAAATCATGGTTGGCAGAGAACCTGTAGGTAAGTCAACAAAAGTAAGGATAGAGAGGGACCTGTGACCCATACAATCCAAGGTCTTCTCAAAACCATGTAAGTAATTTTAAAACAGATTTTAAAAGTAGTAAGAAATCATTTGAAGCAGGGAAGTTATATGAAAAGATAGACATTATAGATAGACTAATTTTGCTCACCTGAGTAGAAGCAAGAGATGGATGAATATGAATGCTTGAAAAAAATGTGATGACAGTTGAAAAAGGAAATGAATAAGTCCTAGGCACATTGTAGATGTAGAGTAACCTGCCCATGTAACAGATGGGATTCAGTAGATATTGATGACTTTCGAGTTTCTTGCTTGGGCAACTGGAACACTATTGATATCATTTCTCAGGATTCTACAGAATCTTACAAGCAAAGCAGAGTTTGAAGAATAAGGATTAAATATAAGATCAGTTTGGTGTTTGTTAAGTTTGAAATGTCAAATAGATGTTAGATATGTGTGTATGTAGCTAAGACAATCATGGCTTGGAAACGTATATTATGATGTTGTCAGCCTTAACAAGTGACTGGTATTTAAAGCCTGGGTGAGAATAAAACCACGCAATGAGTAACGCCTAAGCTCTATGAAAGGAAGTTGATGTCTGTGATACTCACAGATGTTCCCCAGTACCTAGAAGGGCAACTGGTGCAGCATCAATGTTCAAAGGGTAGGCGGTTCTTGATTTACTGAAGAGTAGAGGGTTAAGAACTGCATCCCAAGGAAATGTAATTGTATAGAGAAAGATGAAACCATACCACTACCCTTGGTGAGACTAAGATATTTTTCAATTCCTGGAAAAATACAAGACTGCAGTATCTTGGGAGTTAAGAGACAGTCATATTTCCAGAAGCCAAGGTGTAAATCACGTTTGACCCTTCTGATGCTGCCGAGAGGTCAACAAAATTCAATTGAAAGAGACGTGAAGTGTGCTAATTACACACAGCTTTGCTGAAGTGGATGAACGAGAAATGAGTTAGGAATGGGCTGAGAATTGTATGGGAGGTTAGCAGGTTTAGACTCCATGTTAATTTAGTGCTTTCAAGAAACTTTGCTATGAAGGTTAGCACAGGAAAAAAAAAAGTCAGTTTTAGAAGGACTTTTATGATGAAAAGGGCTAGAGCGTGTTTCACAGCTGATGAAATGGATCAAGCAGTCAAGGAAAAGTCAGACACACAGATGTACAAATGAAGCTATCTGAGAAGATAGGAGATAGAATTCATCCCCTCTGAACTATGCAGCTAATACAAAACCAGAGCAGCTCACTGGGAAAGGGGGAAAAAATAAAATATTCATTTTATCTATAAAAAGTCACAAAATAATGTCCAATTTACTGTGACTAAATCCACAGACTGGTAAAGTCTCATGGAAAGCCAGATCAAAGACACACCATTATATATCAAGAATTATTTGATTTAGCTCTAGAAAATTTCCTGGGGGCAATTTTAAAGGCTGTGATGGTTGATGGTGAATTTGGGAGCCTTTAAACTCACAATTTCCTAAGGAGTTAAAATTATGAATCAGCAAAATAAGAAAAAATGATATTTTTCACATGCTTTCATTATACTTACTCATGTAATTATATAATTTCTCACTCCATTTTAAAATAAATATTATAAATTCAAACTTAGGCTTCAGACTAGTTATATGTAACAAATGAGCAAACCTGAAGTCTTTGGAGAAGATAAGGAGTTTAAAAGTTAATTTAGTTTGAATTTTTTTAAATAGCATTCATTGTAGACTGTCCAAATAAAGTTTACAGACTTTGAATTAAAAATTCCATTAATTGTGTGCATTAAGATATATGTAACTCTTTGTAAGCAACAGACTAAATCTAGAATACATTTATTTGTTGGACAAGGGGACTATTTTTAACAATAGACTCACCTGAAATTCATATATCATATATTCTATTGATAATAATGGCTTTTCTATGTATACATCGTAGTGGATACCACATTTCTCCGTAGGTTATGATTCTGGTTTAAAAAGTATTTTGTGATGAATAATGTTTTCTCATTTTCACTTATTTAGAGACATGTTTATTTTGAAAGATGTGTTTCTTGATTCGCATAGAAATAGAGTGTGCAAAATCACAATCATGATCCCTTTTGTAATATTCATACAGCATAATTCCACCTCACTTTATTTTATAAACAATGAAAATATTGACTAGTGATGACTAAGTCTTATAAAAATGATTACAAAATCACCTATAGAACTAGAGGCTGATAAAATTATATTTACTGACTTACTTTGTAATTTTAATAACTAGAATATTATTAACATGGTGGAATGAATATAATCTAATGCTTTAAAATTTTTTAGAGATAAACTTATTTCGAAAAAATTTTTTCACCATTTCTTTTGGCTTACAATGTATTTAGTATTGATTGTTTTAACCAAAAAAAAAAAGAAGTAACACTTATTATCTTTAAGTAATTGCTCCTTTTTCTTCTTTTGTTACTATGAATTGAAGATATGACTAATTTTAACATTTACTCTCAATATAATTTGGTGACAAATAATTCCATTCATATATTCTAAAGATCCAATGGTAAAATAATTCTACCAGCTGAAATCAAGCATGTACTACATCCATGAGAGTTCTTCAAGTTTAACAGGCTAACAAAGAAATGACATGAGTTGCCACTTATAAACATATTGCTAAAAATTTTTTAATTAATTTGTATTTTCATGGACTTTTTATTATACTTAAAGTGAACTTTAGAGTAAAATTATTTTGATGACATTCACTTCTAGTTTCAACAAAACTAGTATACCCTTTCATCTCTGAGTAACTCAACATGAACAGAAAACAAAACATTCAAGTACATGGCAAGTACTAAAATGTTTTCTTAAATTTAAATTTATGATTGTTTTTGGAATATAAATTAAAGAAATTTCAAAACAATGGTGAAACTGAAGTTCAATTAATTGGGAAGAACTTTAGTTTAACCATCTGGAAATCTCAGTCAAATCTAAATATCAATAATATATGCAGAACAATATGTATTTGGCTTAGCACGTAATGCCAAAGTAATTCTATAAATTTATTTTCATGATCTTTGGTTCTCAAAATTATTTTAAATGAGTAACAATAACATATGTCTAGAGTGTGCCTACAGCCAGTTGAATTAATGCTCTTTTCTTCTTATTACAAATTTTTATCGTTTGAACTTACAATTTTCACTTATATGTCTTGGTGCCTCATTCATTATTAAAAGTAAAACTACTTTTATTAAATATGTTCTAAGAAAATATGCTGGCAAAAGAAAAGGCTATCACTAAACATTGCAGCATATGATGAACTCATATTTAAGTAGCAGTGTGAATTTACTAGTAGCCCGGTGGAATGGTTGATGACCTTTCTCTAATAAGTTTTATCTTCAATAAAAAAAATTTAAGATGTTCACATTAAAGGAATCAGTGATAGAACTAATGTCTGAGTTATTGAAATAAACATTATTATATTGAGCCTCAGCTATGTTTTTAACATGTGACAGCTATTTAGAAATGCTTTATACTAGATTTTTTTATTCTTTGTCCTGTATCGAAGTAATTTTTTGTAGGTATGGCTTTGTGTAAATCTTGTATTAATTATTTTCTCTTTTTTTTTCTTTCCTACTGTCACTATTCTCTTTTCCTTTATTTTCATGTTTGTAACTCTGCTCTTTTTTTCTTAATTGTTTTATTCTTATTCTACTTTCAAAAACAATTTTCATCATACAGATAAATGCTGTGAAGCGAATAAAGGCGAAAATGGAAGCCAGTCATGGCAGCTGAATGCTGCTGGGTTTTCTTTCATTCTAGCCATAAGTGTGTCTTGCATGTTTTAATGTCGTTGCTATATCATATGGTATTCCCTTTTATCATCTGCAAGTTTATAAGGCTAATCTAAAATTATAATAAAATATTTTTTAAGGTTCAACTAATTATGCATGTATCCTCACCCGTCAATAGTTAGCCTCTTTTCCCTTCCCCAAATTGTTAACCTTTAAAGTAGATAATTTGTCAGAAAAACACTGAAGAAAACTGAACCAGGATTGTTTCTTTCAGGTACCAGTTCACAGCATAACTTGCTTCATTCTACAGTTTTCTTCAGTTTCTTAAAGTTAACCTTAAATATCATGTCACTTTTACTTGGAACTTAACTATTTGCTACGTCTAATCTTTCCTTTGATTATTTTGCAAATACAATTCAATGTTCATGGACATACGTTGCATAAATAGAAATTTTATTATGTTGAATTGTGGATCTTTTATATTGGTTTTAATTGTTCTTTTAAATATAAGTTTCAACTTTATAAATATTTATCATATTTCGTGGTGTTTACCATTTACGTGAGACATAAACCTGATAATTTTTATTATGTTAGATGTGATTCCTGTTTTGCTGCCTTATTTTCCTTTTATTGACCTAAAATGTCATAAGGAGTAAAAGTGAAGCAGAGTTAATTTTCTTCAATTTGAGCACCAATTTTTGAAAGTCCAGACATTTTTTTTAATGAAGTGAAAATATCTTAATGTAATTGTACCAAAGTAAATGATAAATTAAATTTGAGTACGTTTATTAAGTTGCACCTGTGTACTAGATTTGGACACTATTTTGAGATGGTATCAAGTATTGATGTTCTAGCAACATATATATTTATTTATTTATTACTTTTTCCTGAGTCAATTTCTTTGCAAGGATCAGAGATAGAAGTAAGTATTTTAGCTGCCATTTTCAAGAAGATGAAATTGAGAGGAGAAGGTATTACTAGATTCCAGCTTTCAGAGCAAGCTGGATTTGAAGGAGTAGCATGATTAATGCCTTTTGTTTTCACATTTTCATTTATTACAAAATGGGAAAAGGGTGTTCTGCATTTTTCACTCCCAGCTGCACTCTAGAAAGTGATTCTTACTACTCAGTCAGGACAATTAGAAAGCTATCAGATTTACATATATTCCCATGAGTGACTGTAACTTACATGGTAAATCAAATTACTGAGTTCTGGGCTTCGAGATTCATTCATCAAAAACAATTTATTTTGTTGCATGAAAGTATTCTCTGACTTTATTTTAAAGAAATACCTACAGGATTCTATCATGTAAGGTCTAAAAGTAGACTTGCCTTTGGTAGTCTGTATTCTTTAAAATTTGTCTTTTCCAAACTCTGCTCTTCGCTGCTGTGTCTTTCTTCTGAGCTAGCATCAGACCTGTAGAGTGCAGAAGGGACTCACCCACAAAGGAAACACACTTCTGCTTTTCTTTCTCCCTTAGAGACAAAGGGGATTTCCTAATTCCAATTCTTGCAGTATAGGAATTTAACCTATTTATTGGCAATGTTCTGTTTTAAAATGATAATAGCTAATGTTATGTTTATTAAAGAACTAATTATAATTGCATATTACATTCCATGATTGCATATTACATTCCATGAGTTTGGATAAGACTTGTAGATATGTTGATTACTAATAAGTAGCAAGTGCTGAGAAAGAAAGGAGTTTCAATAACACGCTCATGAACAATTTTTCTCATTCATTATAACCTGACTGGATCTCTCCAGTAAGTTGTAAATATTTCCATGAGAAATCATATTGAAATTACCTTGATTCAGGACATGATTACAAAATGCTTTCTTGGAAAACATGGAATATGTCTTTAGTAAGATAAGAGATTTTTTTTTAAATTTTATTTTCTAAAACTACCAGGTCACCAACAATGATACGAAGGACACTCAGTCTGGCTTATATGATACCGAGACTGACATTTGAACAGTTCAGAAAATGACCTAAAATTAAAATTCTAATATCTTAGCAGAAGTGTTTACATTTAATGAGTTGTTCATTTAGATTTTATAAGCATCTAAGTACCAATCAAGTTATTAATCCTAAAATTAATGAGCAGTCTATCATTTGGCCCCATGTTCATTCTTAGATGAACAGTTATTATACAGTTCTAAGATATAAATTTTTAAAAATATTCTGATACATCTTAAAATAATAGACTCTGTGCTTTGCCTTACTTCCGTAAGAAATGGGAAAGTGCAAACTGTATAAACAATGCAACTACTGCATTTTGAAAAGTGAGATCTTAGAGATTGTAAATTACTTTCTCAGATATTTTTAACATCTTAATAATATGTAATTGTTGCTGAATTATCATTTTTATTACTTGAGCTTTACTCTTGTTATATGTAACCATAAAGTCTAACTAGCAGTACATTTTTGTATAATTAGTGTCTGTCTATAGGTCTAAGTAACTGTGATTATTGGTAAGCCATACATAAAAATTCTTCCTATTATCATCCAGTGCTTTTTTTTTCATTCAGTGGACTTTTAAATAAAAATCGGTGTCTAAAATGTACAAATGTAAATTTATGTGTAAGGTGAGTCTTATTTTATTCATTATAAATAATCAGAAGTATGTTTCTATGTTTATCGATGTGTATGTCTTATCATCAAATGTTAAATCATTTAAAAAGTTTGTTTTGACCGTGTTATACCAGTTATAAAGCTAAATTGATTTGCTTATGCATAATGGCCATTATCTGTATGTGGAGTGTCAGGATTAATTTTTTATATACAGCTGTGTATCTCGTTTTCTCTCCTCCTAACCTTTTCTAAGTCTGTCTTCTATTTTCCATTTATCATTAGGTCTTACTGGTCTCCCTACCCCAATACAAGCTCAATACTTATTTATCAGATAGCTATAAGGCCCACCAGACTACATTTCAGATATGCTAACAGATTATGCCGAGGAGGTAGCAATAAATTCTTCTTTCCTATGAGATTTTTTCTTACAAGCAAGAACCTTCAGTAAATTGCCATTTTTGATCGTTTCTGTCCTAATACTCTTATTCATTGGAAATATGTATATTTTATAAAATCTATACCCATATTCTTTTCCAAAGCATTATTTATGTGCACATGTGTTCATTACTGGTAGACATGAGCAAGACTGAAATGTTTAATGACTTATTTCATTTTTCTTAATTTTTTTTCCTATTTTTTGTTAGCCTCAAGTATCTCAAGGGTTTAACCATTTTAAATAAGCAAATAAATAAATAAATAAATTCCAGGCATTGGATTAACATTTTGTATGTATAAGTCAGTTATATATAAAACAAGTATTTGTTCCAACAGATAATTGTATTGCAGATAATTTTGACTTGTAAGTATTCAGCAGTTCTTTTAAAATAAATAGTTAAAATTACAAGTACACATAGTTGTTTATGGACAGTTTGGGTCAACTTAGAAATAATTATACAATTCAAATATTTTCTATATTAAGAGTGCCTATTAATTAATTATATTAATTATACAAAACTAAAACAAGGAAAATTCCACAATGTTTTTAAGTCTGATCAGTTGGTCTGATTATTCATTTGTAAGCAACAAAATATAGGTGCAAGAGAAAATTAGGCCATGTGCTTTTGATTTGGATAAGTACTTTCAGATATAGTATTCATTAATATGGTGTATCTACACTAAGAATGAAGAAATAAAAAATTTTAATTACAAATTATTTTAGTTATTCCGGATGGATATTTATCAATACAATAGTTAAGTATGTTTGGGTCTAGCTTTCAAGAATAGCTAATATTGTGTATATATTTTTAGTTTGTAGTAGTTAATTAAGAATACATCTAGATATGTGCAGTTAACTGAAGATTTTTGCCTGTTTGGTTTTTGGTTATGATATTAGCAGTATTAAGAGCTTTAAATAAATAATCTGTTATGATACTCCCTAAATTAAATATTATCACATATTAGTTTTTTGCCCTAATATATTATGATTCCACTTAGTGAATAAAGATACAGGATCACAAATTTCATATAGGAATGTGTCATTTTGTGTATTTTATTATGGTTCAGATCTGTGAGGCATAACGTAATATCCTTGAAACCACCTTTGAGTAAGTGCAGATTAATTAGGCTTTTTCTTAGTTGCTTTCTTTCCTTCCATTCTTCCTTCCAATTCTTTCTAATATTCTGTCTCTCCCTCCCGCCCTCCTACCCTCCTCCTTTCCCCCTTCCCACTATCTCTCCCTTCCTTCCTCCCTCTCAATTTCTGGAAGTATCTCTTCTTTTTATGTTAATCACTGTTAAGGTTTAAAATCTCAGAATTTGTAGTATAGATATGTGTCATGAAACTTTCAACTAAGGCTAATGCATTGAATGGGGAGCTTAATTTATATATTTAAAATGATTGGAGATACAAATATTCAACAAGTAGCCACTGAAGTAATTTTAATGTAAATTGAAATTAGTAAAAAGCCTATATCTAAATCAGCTGATTATGTCATTAAAAAAGAGTATTATTTAATCATTTTTATTGCTTGATAGTAAACCTTAGAATTCAGAATATACTAGCAGAGTAAATTTTAGGTCTTAAGTAAATGAAAAAAAAATCTTTTTAACATCTTATTAATATATTCACTTCCAAGTTATCATCTAAACTAGAGTATTTTTTCTAAAGTTAACATTTTTAACTTTTAAATATAAAGTTGTGTCTTTTTTACTTTAATGGTACTTAAAAGTGATATACTACATAAAGATTATTAAAGTAAGCAGCATCTCAATATTTATGCAAAGATTCAGTAAGTTTAAATTTTCTTTAATCATTCTGAAGTAACACAGAATGGGAATTTACATCAATGCTGTATTTTTCAAATACCTTTGGTTTCCTTATCTTACCTAAGATTATCAGCCAGATCAAGATCTCTGGTAGTAATCCGGACCCTCCCTCATGGCTTTTAACTAAGTGGAAGCCTAAAATGCCTGTATCTAAATGTTACAGAAAGAGTGGATTATTCTGTAACATCAATTTTTAGCTACTATTTAGTGAAATTGAAAAAAATTAGCCAAGGAAAGCAAATATGTTCAGGAGTCCTATTAGTTTATCTGAGGTGATCTGAACTGCAACTGATGGCCCCATGTCTTTGTTGGTAGACTATTATTTGATCGACTTTTTAAAGATACGTTCATTCAAGTGGAATTAAATTTTATTTTAAGTGTGAACTAATCTAATACTGGTTGTATTAGCCTAGTATGTTGCAAAATTTAATTTTTTATGTTCAAGTTAAATTCAGTTATTCTTTCTCGTTCCATTTTAATAGAAATATAGTTACATATTGCAAACATTGCATTATATTGAGGTAGCATAATTTTTTAAAAATTATACCATATTTATTTTATTTAGTATATGTACTAAATGGGCACTATGAAATAAATCTCTAGCAAATCCTTTTTTTTTCTAAGAGCAAGCAACTAAAAACTACTATTTTAAATAACGTCCACAATTCATGAACTTCTTTCAAGAATATTTTTATTTCATTCTTACATTGATTTTATGTATAACAGTTCTGTTTTAAAGTGACTATTTCTGATCATTTTAATTGCATCTGTTTTCATCATAGCTTATTTTCTTGAAATAAAATGTACGTTATAAATGTATTGTCCTTGGTATCATCTCTTATTTAAAACCGCTGACATAATATCCAGCACTGTGTGTAATCCGATGCATGAGTTTCATAGTATATTAAATGTCATTTTATTTTCTGTATCTCTGTGTCTCCATTGTTGTAATAAAGAAAACTGAGGAAAAGCTTTGTTATACGTGTTTTCTTTATTACTGGTACAAACCTTTTGTCTTTGTTGTGTGTTTTCATTTCTAACTTGATCAAATTCAATATCTCTGTATAATAAACATATGATCACTGAGTGATTTCTCTTTTGCTGTCAGTGACACATCATCAGCAGACTCATATTGTAAAAAGAATTTAGAAACGACACCAAATACTGTTACTTTCATAATAAACTAGTTCTAGGGTCTTCTTAGAAACCTGTACTACCAGCGAGAAGCGAAAATAGTCAAATGATGTCATATTAATAAAGCACATTAATATAGTTAATAATTTAAATAATGTAATAATAGAAGAAAAGTCAGTATTGACAGCAAAAGTTTATAAAAACAGACATAAATGCTTAAAGTGATCTTTCTCCAGTTCCTTTGATTAATATATTACTATAATTAAGTGTGAACATCATGGAATAAAGTTGTAGAAAATCATTAAGGTTCTTGGTTCATGCACAGCCAAGGCATGAAACAAAAATGGCTTTGGAAGTTTACAGATAGTAACAATAATGCAAAATAGAGCAACTTCTATTTTTTTGGCATACACTGTGTTACACACTGTATGGAAGGCCTTGAGTGCAATATTTTTTTTATTCTGGAGTAAATATCATTTCTCCCAAATTCTGGATGAGAACAGTGAGACCTAAAGAGGTTGAGTAATTTACGTAGTAAAACGTCACAGACTCTTCATAAAACATTATATCACTTTTTGTTTGTTTTAGCACTGAACGTGAGTTTAAATGATAATTCTTTAACATGTAAGTTATTCAGTTAGTTTTTATAAAGTGAAAAAAACAACTTTGGTTTAGACATCAATATATATTTCTCTTCTACAAACACAGCCAAGTGTTGCATTGCCAGATAAAAATGAAGTAGTGTAGAAACTACAAAAGAGAAAATACTCATTTTCAAAATTTGCATTATTTTAAGGCACACTTAATCTTTCTTACTCCAGAACAGTTCACTCCCAAATGCATATCTTTATATATATACTACCCATTAAAACATGTTTAAATACATTTCAGAGTAAAATTTTAATGATATCTATACACTGTTATAATATTTGAACTTCTTTCAATCGATACAGTAGTTATAGAAGTTTTATATATTGAGAGAGAGAAAATTCAGCTGTTTTTCTTTATTGTTGTCCTCGTTTTTATTTTTCCTGAAACCCCTTAAGAATGAGATGATATCGGTGGGAAATATGTGGTAATTTTTGGACACTTTCATAGTGACTATCGCAGTAAATTTATATTACATTTTTAACTTTATATTAACTTATTTTGAGAGGCTACTGTTAAGAAACTAAAGAGATTTGAGGAAATTTACCCTAATGTTCTAATCAAATGCCATTATTATATCAACAAATTGAGGCTCAGAGAAGTATGACTAGTCATTGACAAAGTTGAGCATCGTACACTCTCAGTTTTCTTCGTGTTTGTTTTATCAGTTTACAAAGATGGCATAACTAAATCTCTAGTCTGTAACTTATGCAATCTTCTATCTTTGACCTAGTTCCTTTGATTTCCTCTTCTTTGGACTACAGGAAAAACTTTGTGGCAAAGGAAAGTCTGTTCATTTACCAACTACCGTTCCTTTCAGTAATCGTGGTGCTTCTCTTAGGCAGCTGCTACCTTTCTCATTTCAACTTGTACATATAGCTGCACTTCCACGGTCAGTGTAATAAACTCACATTGAGTTTATAGTCTTAAAAGACTATCAAGTTAAATTTTATCACTCTGATTTTTACGTATTTTCTAAAAACATTTTATAAAATAACCTATTTACATTTTTGTTAGAAATAGGTCATATTCTATTAATATAAAATGATTACTGTCTGGTAAAAACCAAAATAGATATTTCCATTTCAGCATCTATTCTTAACATTTTAAGAAATCAAAACAAACAGCTTCAATACACAATTTACACAGTGGCTGTATACTTTGCTGATTTCTCATTAATTATTACAAAAAGAAATACTGAATTGTTTAAAAGTTTAGCCTGTTTCTGTTTAAATATGGTTGAAACAAAAATAAAACTTCTCTCTTCAAACTAGCATTTCTGTTTTAAAGAATCTCTGAATGACAAACTTCAAATTGCTATTGTTTCTATATAATTTCTCAAAGGCTGAATTAGATATGTATGTTTCATGGACGATTAAATGTAAAACTCTCTGATGCACTTAAAAAATGACAAGAAAAATATTCTGTTTCTTAGTGCTATTGGTGGAAAACAAAAATTATGAGGCTTTCATATACTATCCTGAGACTTACCGTACCACCAAATGGCTCAGATATGAAGGAAAGTTTATTTAAGGAAATGGAAATATTTCTCTACAGTAGAGTCTAATATAGTTCATACTGAGTTTTCTCATACAAAAACAGGAAGCTGAAAATATTTGACTTGCCTGTGTGTTACTCATAATGTAACATGTCATCTTTTTTTTTTTTTTTTTACTGGTTAAAGGACATAAAAGGTTGAATATTTTATTTATAGACATTCTCAGCCAATCCAGGTATGTTAGCCGGTCCCATAAAGATTTTAAAGATACTAACATTTTATTTTGGCTGCTCTTAAATATACTTTATTTGATAGAGGAGTTTTAGGTTACACCAATATTGAGAGGAATGTATAGAGTTCTTACATACCTCCTAACCCGACATATGCATAGTCTCCCCCATTATTAACATGCAGAGTGATATGTTTGTTACAATCAGTGAATCTACACTGACACATCCTTTTTCACCCAAAGTTCATAGTTTGCATCAGGGTTCACTCTTGGTGTTGCATATTCTATGAGTTTCGATGAATGTATAATGACATGTATTACCATGATACTATCATACATATAGTTCCAATGCCCTAAAAATGCTGTATGTTCTGCCTGCCTATTCATCCCTCCCTCTCTCCTCATCTCTGGCGACCGCTAATCTTTATTACTGTCTTCATAGTTTTGTCCTTTCCATAATGTCATATAGTTGGAATCATGCAATTAACACCCTTTCAGATTGGCTTCTTTCACTTAGTAATATGCATTTAAGGTTCTTCCATGTCTTTTCATGATGTGATGGTTCATTTCTTTTTAGCATTGAATAATATTCCATTGCCTAGATGTTTTATCCATTCACCAAATGAAGAATATTTTGGTTCTATTTTTTTAAGTGAATATCTACACTTCTATTTTAGAGCTGATAGCAGACAATGTATTCACTCAGAAGCACTATATAATAATATATAAGTGGATCTACATGTTTTGAATGGCTAGTTTTAATAATGATTTTTATATAACCCTAATGCAGAAATTGGAGTCTCTAAGACACAATAGAGTATATAAAAATTGAAAATTTTCAAACCTAGTATGTTATAAATTCCTTGGAAAATAATAATAACAGCCATATATTTGTTCACATTTTCCATTTACTGTCTTATACATTTAGAAAATTCAAAAATGTGCATATTAAAGAATTTTATAATAAACATGTTAAACAGTTTGGAATTTCAATAAGCAGTTTATAAAATATCAATTGTAGCTTAATCTTATGTGGGTGAGATTCAATTTTATCATATAATCTTTAAGAAAAAAGCATTTTCTTTTTGTACAGAAAAATTTAATTTCCAATTTATGTATGGAAAAGACTTTTAATATTAACAGAAAAAAATGAACTTGACCAGTTAATGACTGAATCAGGGAACTATCATTTAAATTATTCCTTTTTTAACACTGTCTTGTTTTGATCATATTTACTCCAATCTGAGAAGCTCCCTTTCCTACTAGCCAATAAAAATTTCATTATCTTATGGGCAAAAGCTAAATCAACTCCACCCCAAAGCAAACTAAACATTTACCATAAGATTTAAACTGCAAATGAAGAAAGTATACAGTTAATGAACTTCAAATGTAGCAATTTGAGTAGATAATTATGACATATACAAATATATTGTATCTCTTTGTCCCATTTATTTGACAGTTTTGTGGCAAGTGGTCTACATGCTGACATACTTAGCGATTTGAAATGTCAGAGAAGATACGAGCATAGATATTCTGTTTTCACCAGGACTTTAAGATATTTCACAATTTCTCATGCTTTATAGTTATGCCAGAAATCATCCTGAGAGTTTAACAAGTTTCCATCAACATTCCCATCGAAGGATGATGTCTTTATATTTTAGGTTGTTTACTTTTTATTGGGAATTGTTTAAAAAAGATAGATACTAAAACCTTAAGGGGGATTGGGTGGATAGTTAAAAAAAAAAAAAGAAGAGTGAAAGTTAATGAACTACATGAACTGTCTTTCCATTTAAAAGTATATAGAATAATTATACATAGTTATATAAATTTATAGTACTGTTTTGTATTATACAGTGTCTATTTTAAAATATATTAATAGGCATTAATTATCTAGTGTTAATGTAATCACTAATCGCACCTAAGAGACAGTCTATTTACTAGATTCTTGAATGCAAACATCAAGCGGAGGTTGACATGCCTGTGTGCATTATGGAAACAGGTGTGGAATGGGAGCAAGGGGAGACTGGACAGACATTCCACAGCTGTAGCTCAGGCCTCTACCAGCCCCCTCCTAGCCATCGTGGCAGGCTCTGTTCCCTGTCTGTGAACCTCTGCCAACTCCCTACCATCTTTTTAGAAAAGGTCACAGGTTTTCTTGTTGGTGATGTTCATTTATTTTGTTTTGGTTGATTCATTCATTTGTTTATCTATTCTATTCCAAGGTCTATTCTCTTTAATCTCATCATTTATCACCAGTTACCCCCAATAGCACACCTCTAATATCCATTTATATAACTGCTAATTTCAGAATACATTGTATATTTACCATCTCCATCTTTGCTCACACGATGTTCTGACTGAAATAGACTTCTCTTAGCATGTAGAAAGTTTATTTTTTAACATTATCTTGAAAGTTACCCTCTCTAGCAAGCCTTCCTTGACCACTAACCATTAGCTTACA